TATCAGTTTTCATTTTTATATGAATTGGATCATCCCAAAGTAATAAACAAAATGGACCCAATGTACGAATTTTACTTCTCCATTCATCTTCTTTATCTTTGTCTCCTACTAATCTCATAGCTGCATTCAAACTTTGATATAGAAAACTTTCCAAAGAATAAAGATAAGCACAACATTTCCATACTTCTTTCATATCTTTGTTTTTCTTTTCTCTAAGCATATTGGCCATTTTTTCAGCTTCTCGTTCTTTTCCAAGATATTTTCCTTCTTCAATTATACCATTAGCAGCCTTTTCAACAAGCGTTGGAATCATATCTGGCTTTTTTGATGGCGATTCATTAGGTTTAATACGCAAATCTCGTCGAACTTCGACTACAAATGGTGATACCCAACCATATTGACCTCCGAATGAACGTGCCGAAGTAGTAGGAAGATCCATAAAACGTGTTTCTCTTAAATGTTTATCTTCTCTATTACGTACGACTCGTTTAACTGGTCTTCGCCTATTATAATCAGTGTTTAATACTTGCAGATTATCTTGAAAATCGATGTAATAATCATCCAAAATAGCTTTTGGTTTCTTGTCTAAGAATGCTTCTTCAATAATTAAATTTTCTACATCTGAATAATGACTCCATTGAGCAGGCTCAGATTTTGACCATGGATTTGGATTCGATTTCCACATCCATTCAACATGCTTTAAATTGTTTTTCGATTCGGTAGGTAGTGCAGTGGCCATTATTATAAATTATTTTCTCTTTTATTTTCAATGTTGAAAAATATGTTTTCTATTAACTATTTTATTATCTAAAAATGTTACAAACAAGAAGAAGGACATTGAAATTTATTAAAAAATACAAGAAAGTTCAGTCTTGAAGTTTTCGTCAGTGTTGGAATTCTTTAATATTCTTTGAAGTCTCACAAGATCTATTAAAATCTTATGAAATTTCTCGAATTACAATAAACTCTTTCAAAATCTTAACAAAATTCATTAATCTTCATTGAAGTCTCAACAACTCACCTGAATTCATTTAGTTTCTTTAAGTTTCTTTCAAATTTTAAATATTGTCAGATTTTTCGAACAATTTTTATCTACTGTGCTTTTTTCTCGAATGAAGTATGTTTTTATCTAAGCAACATTCATTTCTACCGTGGTAGATTCATCCCTTCTAACTTTATTCTACCTTCCAGAGTAGAGTAAAATTATGGTGAGATACATGCTTATGTCGTAACATAGACGATTGCTCATAGTGTTAAGTTTTCAAGGAAGTGTTTGAAAGATACTGCTGTTATCTCTGCTGATTTCAAAAAAGTTGATTTTTGTGTATAAATGAAATCAATTTTCTCTAAAAGAAATCTTCCTATCGGGCTTATGAGATCTAGACTCACGGAATTATTCGAAATCTATTCTTCTGAAAATAGATAATTGAAATTTACATCAAGTTATGCTACAAATAAACTTATTTTTAGTACTAATGAAAGATTTTTGAAAATGAGAAGATTAAATCAAGTCCCGCGCCATTTGCTCTTCACAGTACCAAGGAAAACTTGACCGGTAGAAACAATCTCTACAATTCCTCCAGTGAATTATTTGATATTTTTGTTGTAATAATTATCTGTCGTAGTAGGTCCTGATTTTTCGTATATTTTCTAAACCATTTCTATTCATTTTAGGCTTGGAAAATCATTAAAAGTTTCCGATTCTGATGTTTTTTGATAAGAATGTTGAGATTTAATTTCAAAAAAAAAGGAAAAGAATAGGAATGTTCAAGAGCCTGAAAAAGCCACAAGGCTCGCTTACCTGTCTGTGACAGGCAGCCCATGCCGACCTCTGGCACTGATCAAGCAGACCGCTTAGTCTTTCTAGATTCTTCTCTGACATGAAATTATAATTCCTAATATTGAATTATTTATAGGAAACAGGTTTTGCTGAGTTAACTTTCAATGATGAAAGTTTTGATGAAATATGCAACTGCTTGAGCATAAATATTGAAAACAGATACAGAAAAAAAATTCACTAACCTTGTGCACATGTCAAAAATACGAAGGAAGGTTCGATAAGTGATGAGACCGGTCTTGTCCAAAAATTTATTTTTTCTAAGGTGTGGATAACGAAAAGTTAGAGCAAAGGAATAGGGTGGATAAGACTCTTTTATGGCCCGAAAAAATTTTGGTTCTTTTGTATCGGAAATCAATCAGCGGATATTCGGGTGCATACCCAGGCACTTTGTTTTGAGAAATCATTCCGCTATGTTTTTCAGGCCTCAGATCCCCTACAGAATTTCTGAAAAACTTTTCATTTTTGATTTATTCCAAACCCCCTGATAATATGTAATCGACCATGCTGATCACGAATGTCCATATTAGAATTGTCAAAAATGCTCTGGGAAGTAGTAGTCATCTCAAATATAGTGATTCTGATGCAGAATTTCATGCTGAATGTGAATATTGAATCAGAAAACTCATTCATATTGAGAACGTTCATGAAAATGGCAAAAGACTAGCTCAAACCATGGTTTTTGCATACAATGGGCTATTTAATTTCAGTCTGAATTTATCAAATAAAAATAATACTTGATTTCAAACTGAAACGTGAGTCTAGGAGTGAGGGGGGGAGGTGACTGAGGGTGTGGGTGTTGGTCTGGGACCCACACACACACCCACACCCATGGTGCGGGTGTGGGCGCGCGAGTGAGGGTGAGGGTGTGCTTGTGGTTTTGTGTACTATAGGCTTTAGTCCCCTGCACAGGGAACTAAGCGGGGACTAAGCTTTTTGTGGGCGGGACTAAGGGGGACTTTGCAGGACTAGGGGGGACTAAGGGTTTTTAGTGAGACTACGTAGTATCAAGCGAGAAAAGTTTGATTCGGAAGAAATTGGTGTGGTTTTTTTTATTTTAGGATTCAGTTTGAAATAAAAAAGCCCATAGACTCCCTTATGGATAGTTTTTTGTACTCTGTCCACTAGTTTTCTACAAAAACAGCAAGTTGTGGAACAGCTTTCCCTATGGGTCTCCAGAAAACCTTTCCAAGGCCATTTGAGATTTTCACAGAATCAACAATGCCATCATGTCTAGACTAGTCGAAAATCCATTTCCATGCGTTTTCCCTCAGTCTTACCATTAATATATGACAATCTAAGCTAATTAACGTTATATACTATTCAATCATTGATATTCTCAAGGAAAATTGAGAGAAAAAGGCATGGGAATAGATTCTCGACTATTCTGGGCATGATGGCATTGTTGGCTCTCTGAAATTTCCAAATGGCCATGGAAAGGTTTTCTGGAGACCCATATGGAAAGCTATTCCACAACTTGCTATTTTTGTGCAACGACAGTGGATAAAGCGCAAAAACTGATCCTTTTGATAAAAGTTTGACGAAGTGGCTATCTGTCTATCTGGGACCGCGATAGGGTCAACCTGGGCAAATATCACCAAAAACTGTGATTTGAGCTGATTTTTAGCAATTTTCATAAACATTTTCAATATGAATGAGTTTTCTGATTCAATATTCATATTCAGCATGAAATTGTGCATCAGAATCGCTATACATGTTGGCTTTTCGGTTCTTTCTACGCAAGCAGGGCATCGAAATAGCCTTTTCGCAAAAAGCAAGAAAATGGAAGTAAATAGAAGACTACTACTTCCCAGAGCATTTTTGACAATTCTGATATGAACATTCGTGATCAGCATGGTCGATTACATATTATCAATGAGGTTTGGAATAAATCAAAAATGAAAAGTTTTTCAGAAATTCTGTGGGGAATCTCAGGCCTGAAAAAGCTGACCCATCGATTTCGCGAAACTAAATGCCTGAGAATACACCTGAGTACCCGCTAATTGTGTTCTGATACAAAAACACCGAAATATTTTTGGACCATGAAAGAGTCTTATCTGCTGCATTCCTTTTCTTTTTCGTTTTTTAATACATGATTAAATAGAGTAAAAGTATATATATATATATATGCAACTTTTTCTTTCGAAAAGCTTTTAATGAAAAAAATCAGCTTTCTCGATAGTCCTGAATCGTTCATTTTTCTCTAAAATTCTTTTCGATCGATAATAAAAACGATATGTTTTCTGATTATTTTTGTCACATTTTTTCATTTCGTTGGCATTATAAAAGTAATATATTCAGATTCATCGTGAAAAACTGCGTCGATTGCACCTATTTTTAATATTCCTTAATAAAAAGATGCTTATGAAATGTAGAGTCTGACAGCCAGGAAAAACGTAGAAGACTGGTATGTCGTGGAGTTTTTTCCAAAGCTATCTAGTTTTTTGCTTCTCAGGGTATAACTAACTTTTATGTGCAATTAAAACCGCCAGACAACGGGTCTCAAAAGTATAACTTTGATTTTTCGAAATACTGATATACTGCGATACATCACTGATGAACTCTGGCTTAGGACACCGGAAAAGATGAGATTCTGCCAGTAATGTGAGGTTTTCTCTGTCAAAACTAGGACATTTTCCAAAAATGTGCCACATTCGAAATGAGCCTAAAAAAATGCGATACTTCAGAAGTGAACCGAAATTTTACTGTTGGATGCAGTTTTTAGTGCTAATTCTGAATCTATCACTTTTTGCGGAAAATGTCATAGTTTTGACAGAGGAAACCTCAAATTACTGGCAGATTTCATCGTTTCTGATGTCTTAAGCCAGCGTTGATCGGTGATCTATTGCAGTATGTCAATATTTCGAAAAGAATGAAAGTTATACTTTTGAAACACATTGTTTGGCGGTTTTAATTGTATACACAAGTGAGTTATATTCTGAGGAGCAAAAAACTACAAAGCTTTGCAAAAACCTCCAGGACATACTACTCTCCTACGTTTTTTCTGGCTGGTAGACTCTACATGGTTTATAATCATATTTTTACTAAGGAATATTAAAAAATAGGTCAAAAATAGGTGCAATCGAAGCAGTTTTTCAAGATGGATCAGATATATCATTTTTATACTTCCAACGAAAGGAAAATATTGAAAAATAATCAGAAAACATATCTATTTTATTATCGACAGAAAAGAATTTTAGGGAAAAATGGACGAATCAGGACTATCAAAAAAACTGATTTTGTTTTCATCAAAACCTTTTCAAAAAAGATTGGCATGTATATAGTTTTACTCGGATCGACAAGCTCTATCTAACTATGTATAAGAAACAAGAAAAGAAAAATTTCCTTTAATTTTGCATTACCCACACGTTATGCACAAATATCACAGAACGCTTTCAAACGCGATGGCTGATAGTATTAGCCCCACAGTATTTGTTTTCTTCTATTTATGGTCAGATCATTTGAAATTGGCAATAAACTCTCCTATGCATAACATGTTTGACCTTTGATGATAATGAAACTAATGCAAGTATCGATACATTAGTGGATCATGTTCTCCAAAGCTGTTCTCCGGTGGGTATTTCGACGCTTCGATTTGAGCGTGTGATAGACCCCGCATTTTAAAATCGGATGTGGGCATGGGTGCGAATGTAGAGAAGATTCATGCACACACCTACACCCTACACCCACACCCACACCCGCACCCAAACCAATACTCGGTATACGCCGCTTGAGTGAGACTCGTACTCAAAGTATTTGTTTAATTAAACAGTTGATTGCAAAATACCCGAAGAAACTTAGACAAGGGACTGTACAGAAATAAGGATATATAAAGACAGAAAGACTCATTTGATTCCATTCAAATATACTTCAAATAAATTGATCTAAAATGTTTAATTGAC